GCCGCCTGACGGCGCCCCTCCCCTCCTCCTCTCCTCTCCCCTTGTCGCCCCTCCAGGTACCCGCCGCAGGTCATGGAGAAGGCGCTGGAAATGGCCGAAGGCATCCAAGTGACCGGCGCGCCTGTCCGCACCACGAGAGATGAACTGGTTGCCAAGGTGAAGAAAAGAGGCATATCAAGTAGCAATGGTTAGCAGATCATAGCTGTGACAATACATAGGAGTCTAGAAAATGCTTGTTTTCGAATGTTCTCGGTTCACCTCGGGCTTAGAAAGTAGTCGAAATAATTTACTTCTAAAACTCCTTGTTAATCGTTTCCCCTCTCTCTGCTGTTTTTTCCTCATGTAATACCCGTAAAATAGATGTAATGCATAAGTATTCTGTTGGTAATGTAGAGCTCGTTTTGAATTTCTACAACTGGTGCACTTCAAGCTGATGATTTTTTTAATGCGATGTAAACTGTTGTTCTCCAGCTTAAATGTATTCTTCTTACTTTGCCTTTAGCGCTAGTCAGACCTTGTCACTTTGTGAGAAACTTAGTTTCTTAAAGCAATACTTAAAGTGGTATTTTAAAGATGTTTTTATGATATTAGTAGACAAAATAACAAAAATTTTTTTTTTTTTTTTTTTTTTTTTTGTTGGCCAGACAGTCTGCTTAATGAACTTCGGTCACTTTTGGTTTGGACCTCAGGAATACAAATACATACCTGCCTACAGGTCCCAAACCAAAACCTGATATCATGCACCTGAGTATTTTTAGGTTTTTGTCAAAAAAATACTAAAATACTCTGAAGTAGTAGGTTAATACTTGAAATTGCAGTTCAAGATGTATTCCTAATATATACCTTTTAAATTCACAGAGATTATTGCTAGAAGTTTTTAGAAAATAGATAAATTGTCTCTAGATGGATATTTCATAGTGCAGAAATTAAAGAGGGTAACATACTTCACTTGTTTTGCAGAAGGGGTAGAGGAGCCCTCCAAGAAGCGAGCTGTTGAGAAAAGCAAAGATTCTAAGGATACTGGAAAGCATGTGAAAACAACCAAGGCAGAAGCCCCAAAGGAAACAGAGAGCACATTGCCAAAAAAGCAGGAGAAAAATACTAGCAAAGATCCAGAAAGCTCCCAGTCAACTTGCAGTTCAAATCAAGAAATGGTCACAGCATCAGACATAGAAACAGAAGGAAAACCTGCTAATGCTGAAAATACTACTGAGCAAAATCCATCTCCATCTGAAAAAGAGTCAGGAGAGAAGCCTTGCTCAAATCCAGCTAAGGAAAGCAAGTGTGAAAATGTGCCGTCACCTGAAAAGAAAACTACAGTAAGTGCAGCGCCACCAGCTGCCAAGAGTGCCCCGCAGGCAGAGGTGGTGGCAGCGGCGGTGCCTCCGGCTGCCAAGAGTGCC